TGTGATATTGTCTTGTATTTAATTCAACGGATTGAATTAAAAGTTTATCGTTTAAGTTTACAGATACCAAGCCAACACCGGGTTGGAAGTTTAATGTTCTTCTTGAATTAATTTCCCCTCAATTTTATAATATGATCCATTTTTGTTGTCAGAATAAATGCGAATTAATTAAAATTAATTAAGTTATGATCAGGCCTAAATAGTTCGTATTTCTTATACTTTGCGAGGAACCATTTTCTTTGTAATCATCGTACTTCCGGACAATGGATTATCTATACTTACAACCAGCAAGAAAAGCTAGGATTTTAAAAGTTTTGTTTGTATATCCGAAATGAATTCAATGCAACGAAGCGCGTCATGTCTAAATAAAAAAGGACGTTTCATTTTAGAAATATTTTTTATCCAAATACACAAATTTGTTGATAATTCCTTTTATCTTATAAGCCAGTTAATTAAAAGCGTGATTTCCATAACTTCATAAGGTGAATCGAGATTGAATTTACTTTCGCATATCAATTTCAGAAATAGACTTGTTGCTTAGTTTCTCTAAATAATCCCTCGAGGTATTTAATTTATCTACTAAAGAAATGCGATTAGATATGTACATTTGCATTTTATAGAAAAATGTAAGGGAAATGTACTATCATCTTTACATAAGTCTAACAAACGATTATTGAAAGAAGCTTCATCTCATTATTCCAGTGTTGGCAAATGACCTTGAAATGACCTTAAATGATCTCAAATTACATCATTTTTATTAGAAATTTCAATTCAAAATGACCAAAGGTCATTTAGAAAATAGTAAATGACCTTATAATTTTCCATCACTGCATTATTCAGATTCATTGAACGAAGATTCATCTCGACATTCGTTGGAAGAAGCTTCATCATTGAAATGATTCATCATTAAATAAGTCATCATTGAAATCATAGAATCAACTTCCAGTATTTCTATTTTGTTTTATTTTATGTTAAATCTAGAGTACTTGGGTCATTCTTGCCCGTATACTCATTTTCAATTCTTTAAAAAAAGAAAATTCTGAAAAATCCATATTAGTCATCATGAATACCTGTGAAACAATTATAAGTTTTTTTTCGTGTTAAAATTAATTAGTTTTCTCGCGGTTATTCTAAGAATTTAAAGGTATTGCTTTTCTCATCAGGATTATATTTCGCATAAAAAGAAATTAGGGCCCTTAAAAATACAGATTAAACAAACTCTAACAAATGCATCAATCAGAAGTTATGTAATTCATGTGATTTTAGTATACGATCATATGGAGATTTTGTTTTCATTTATAACGCGTTCCAAATTGCTAGCTATGATTAAAAATAAAAAAATGTTTGAATATTCTTTTTTTATTTTATTAGATTATATAGATTTTCTGTATTTTATATGGTAATAATAATTTTGCTGTTTGCTGAGCCAATATATATATGACATGTCAGCGAAGAATCGGCAAATCGGCATGTACAGTATATATGTATATTTTATTTTATAAATGTACTGTATTTTTATTTGTATTATTTGTTTTATTAATTTTGTATTTTTATTCCATGTACAGTAGCGGCTGGAGTTCGATGTGGAGATACTAGACTTAATTGCAGCCACCTTTGTGCTTTAAGTAGGCGCATCAAGAAGGGTTCATTGGTCACTCAAGATTTTTGGTAAGAGTCTGCTGTATTCTGGAGAAGAAACTTGCTATGAACAGTCATTTAAGTTACATAATAATTTATATATAAAATATTTACTGGACAACAATTAAAATGGCTCTTGCATTTAAGTCTCCCCAAAGTTAAAATATTATTTTTTAAAAAAATATGACTATTTAGCTGCAAAATTAAGGAAAATTATTTTTTATTGTATCTAAACATATAGAAAAAAGCTACTGTACATTTGATTTATGCATTTAAAATTTTCCACAAGATAAACCCTTATTTAAAATAAAAAATACAACTGGCTTTTATTAAACTTAGAAATAAAGTAAATACTAATATGTATATAGCTCGAAATTTTCTATTCTTTATATGTTTAAATATAAAATTTGGATCGTGCGTCACTTTCCGACGCTCCCATACAAACAACAATTAAATAGCGTTCATTAGCGGGCCGTTTCTCGCTTTCTTAACGCTCCTCCTTGTATTTACCACCATCGCAAAGCTCTTGTAGTAAATGTGTAAGTAATTTTATTTACCGCATTTATTTTGCTCTTTTTGTCGTCATATGAGTTGTGTATAATTGTCGTTGTTTAATGTTGGATCAATTTATATATATTTATATTCCGAATAAATTTTAACAATACCGTATATAAAATTTTTTTTTTGAATAAGCTATACAATTAATTAGTGATCCCGAGTTTGAAACATATCGTACCCAAGCCCATAAATATTTACAGAAACACGACTCGAATATCACTTAATAAAACTATACCATTCAACTATAGAATAAATCAAATATTAAATGAAATAAAATGCAATTTTGTGCTCCGGACTCACAAAGGTTGATTTCTGGCATTACATTAAAATTGTATTACATAAAGAATTTGCGGAGATTATTTGACGCATATTTTTTTTTTATTTTATCAACCTTCTATAGGAAATAACTTTTGCGAAATCCCATAATAAAGATTCTTTTTAAATTATTCTTCCGCATTAATTTTTGTGATTAAAAATATTTCACAAATTTCTATTTCAAATCCATCTACAGTGTCCCTGATCGGTTTTTCATAATCAGACATTTCACATCTACCATAAAAAGAGCTTAATATTTTAAGATCTGAGTAACCAAATCTAAGGCAATTACACATAGTATATTTCTTCTTTATACGGCTTAAAATATGATTATTAATATCATTATCCTTAAATGAGAATACAAAACTATCTTTTGTTTTTCTAGAGTGAAAGAAATTGCCTACGATTGTTGCGATCGTAACTTCTGCGTCTGGGTTATTATACCCTCCAAGAATTTCATTAGTTCCTTTCACTTTAATAACCGTTATAGTCGGAAATTCACGTAAATATCTTATTGTATCACCATCTTGAAAACGAGATAATAATTTGAATTCATATGAAGCAGTAATCTCGTCTGTAATTTCTAATTTTTCAATCCATTTTGTGATGATTTCTGCATGTTGAAACGTAATAATACTTGAATCGATAATAATATTTCTAGTTTCGATATTTGATTCATCGATATTTGATTCACTGTCATTACTTAACAAAGATATAATCATGTTATCAAATAAATCTTCGGGAATTATTTTCTTATATGGATAAACGTTTTTCAAAAATTCTCTAGAAGTTAATCTATGGAATTTAATCAGAGGAATGCATTCTTTTAAAGTGCCTTTTAAGCTATTGAAATCATCTTGTGAATAACTAGAAGGATCCGAGGAAAGATTTGGATTTTGAGCAAGACCCCACTTAAGTGCATATTCCCAAACTTTAGCTGCACTCATATTGAGATTATCGTTTTGAATTAATGAGATCAAAACTTTTTTTGGAACTAAAATAAAATATGGTGATTCAAAGAACTTCTCCGGTTCATTTGAAATGAATTCTGTGCAAACTGCTCGAAGTTTAAGGTAAGAATCATTTTCTAAACTTGTTTGGTATATCAGATGTAAATTTTCATCCGACCAATTTTCTTTATTTTCAATCAAAATAGATTGTATATAGGGGATTAACTCCTGAAGACCTAATTCATTGGCGATAACCAAGGTTTTAACTATTTCCGAAGCATCAAAACCTTTCAAAGAAAGTCTTCCGCCGTAAATGTATCTAGAGATAGAAAAATTAAATTTGTGAAATTTTTAAATAAATAGTAACATCAAATAATAACTTTATTACAATTTACCTTAAAATAATTTGAAAATTTTCAGGTGAAAGGTTTGGTAATTTAACATGCATCAAAGTTTTATCATTCTTCCTTTGATTATTTGAAAATACTCTTCGAAAATAAGGGGAGCGATAATATAAAATGTTCATATGAGCTCGAAAAATTTTCACATGAGGATCATTACCAATTTCAATAGTAATATCATAATATTCATCGTCATCTAAAATTTCTAGAAAGTTTTGGGTTAACTTTGGTAAAAATTCATCTTTATCCATTTCAATTGAATTTTTATTTTAAAGAAAAATGTGGAAAAATTATAAATTTTGAAGTTATATATTTTTGGAATTAATAATACCGGTTTGAGGTTTGATTTATTCCAAATCGGTATGGCTTGACGAGATGATCTCTATAAGTATACCCGAGTGGCTCGTCATACATTCGGTTACACTGAATAATTTTTTGAATTTTTTTTTATACATAGATGAACTTGTGGGCTATTTAAAATGTGATTTGCATTGATCTTAGTAAAAGGACTAATGTATTATGCAAATTATGTTTCATTATAACATTAAATATAAAATGTATGCTTTAATTTTCTATGAAGTTAAAAACTTGTTAATAATTTTTTTTTATTAAGCGAGAATTACCTTTAATTCTTATAAAATTTCTTCAATATTTAAATGAAATTTTTAGATCTTATTCATTTGAATTTAAGCCGTCCTGGCTCACTCAAGCTCCGGCGTACAAAGCTTAGTATTTTTTTTTTTTGTTATAAAAAAAATTAAATTAAGTTAAACTTTTTTTTCACATATATTGCGAAACACGCGAAAACTCCTAGAAGGAAATATGCAGTGGTAAGTCCTTTCATTTTAAATTTAAATTTCGAAAAGCTTATCTGGCATTTTCCTTCCTGTTAAGACTATTCTTTCCAAAAAGAGTCCATCCACTTTGTACTTAGAATGTGCGGTGGAATGTATCAAGAACTAGTGGAAGCTAAGAGTTCGATGAACTGCCACCACTCATTCAGTACATGCAAACTGAAGAACATTCACAAGATGGAGTTCATGCTGGTATTACTTGTGATTATTATGGCAAAGGTGAATGAAAAGGAACAATGTTAGAAACCAACAAAGTCGTAGTTATATATTACAAAATAATTGTCCTTACCTTGTTAATTCAATTTTAATTACGTTTCTCTTTGTTCCCTTATAGATATAAATGCCAAGAATGTACTTATTCTGACTTGTGTACCGGCAATTATAAAATAATTTGTATTATTTTTTTATTTTTCTGTTAATTTTATTTTTTTTTATATCCGGGAACTTTTTTTTAACAAATTATTAAATAAATTACATTTTAAAAAAAAAAAATAAATAATAAATAAAATAAAAATTAAAAAATTTAAATTATATGAATAAAATAAATTAAATTTATAATTAAAAATTGAAATTAAATAATAAAAATAATATATAATTACATCAGTTACGAGTAAATTTTAGAATTGGGATTAGGGATAGAATTAGAGTCGGATATGTTGTATAAAACGATGAGTTAGTGTTAAGATTAGGATAGTTTAGAGTTTGGGTTGGATTATTTATAAATAAGCATCAATAAATTGTATTACTTATTTTAAATTTTGATATGCTAAAATGTTAAAAAAAAATATTTCACGTCATGTTTACTAACCCCCCGGGGCGGGGCATCGCCCGGGTAAAACTACTAGTTTAATAATAATTATTAATCGCGAAAATCTATTTTTTTTTTAATAATATTATACAATATTATGGTTTAATATTTGGAGGCAAGCAATTAAAATCACGTTACGGATCATATGATTTACTATGTTCGTAACTCGATTTTAATAGCAAACCTCCCATTTATTGATATTTTTTTTATTTGAATATTGGACATGAATATTTGTCAAAAAAAATTTACATTTGTTCATATATTTTGTAACTAAAATCAACTTCCACTCCATATACAGTGGATACACTTTTTAATATTGTAATGCGCGATTCGATTTTCGATTAATTCGATTTTATTAGAATCGATTCCAATACGGTGCTCAAGTAATTATAGTATCAGTAATACTTGATTTATCTATAAAGTAGATTTATATAATTGAAAGTTGAAAATTTTTTTCAGGTTACAATATGTTGAAGGGTTTCTCGAACTATAATAAATGACACGAGGTATTGTTACACAATTTACGTAGTTGGTAATAAATATTTTCCATCGCGTGTTTGTATTCCAGACTTTTCAACGAATGAGAACCATTTTTTTAATAATAATTTTGTTTAGCAAATTATAACGTTTGTGATGGTTCTTCCTATTATGTGTACGGCAGCCCATCAAAAACCATATAATAGCGACGTTCCGTTAAAATTATTATTTTTTTTCTTTACCATATTTTAAATGCTTCTTTTATTAAGAGGTACTATTTTTATATTGAATTATCAGATTGGAATCGGAATTACTTATTTGCGTGACGATAAAGTTGATGTCATTATTAAAATTTTTAATTATTAAAATGTTTACTTTCATCACGGCAGGATGTCGTATAAATAATACTTTTTTGCACGTGCATTTTTTAGAAAATTTAGTACAATCTAATAATATTAGAATCGTTCAGACCAAGTTTCGGATAGAATATTATTTCAACTTATGTCATATTTCTTTTAGTAATGAGTTTATTCTTTACCGATTCATTGTTTTGTTTAAACCTATCCATTAAAGTATACATGTTGTTTATATAATAGTCAGGGATTTTACCAAATATAGAATTTCTAAATACAGTGTTGATCGACAAATGATCGACATTCTAGAAGTTCATACAAATTTGCCGATCATTCTAAAATTATAATGATCGACAAACTGAAATATATTAAATATATTAAATATATTAACCATGACCGGTGGCTTATTTTTTTTTAAATTTCTTTTTTTTTATTATTTTTAGCGGAGATGCAGGACCTTTTTGCGTGGTATGCTGAATGATTACATAATCAATCAACTGTGACCGTCATATGAAGCAATTCATTAATAAGTTTCTTTTTTATTTTAATTTAAATTTTTTTTTACTCCTTTTCGCCTTTCCCCCTCTCTCTCTCCCTCTCCCTCTCTTCCTTTCTTTCTCTTTTTCTTCTACCGTTTTTTATAAAAACGGCTTTGGATTCTAAATTTTCTTGAAGATATATCTTTCGGTAAGTTTCAGGCAAAATGGGTAGATTTCTTCATTAAGAAAGAACATTACTAACGTTCTTTTTCCTTTATTTTTTTTGTAAGAACAACTTCTTGTAACCTTTAGCTCTTAGAATTTCTCTTGAATCAGCTCTTGAGGGTAGGTTTTGAATGGTTGAGATTCTTTTTTAAGAAAAAACGTTACTAACATTCTTTTTCTTTTTTTTTTTGTAAGAACGGCTTCTAAGAATATTTGGATTATGAAAATTTTCTAGAATCAGCTCTTGGAAGGTAGGTTTTGAATGGGGTAGGATTCTTTTTTGAGAAAGAACGTTTCTAACATTTTTTTTCTCTCTTTTTTGTAGGAACGGCTTTAAGAACCTTTAGACTATAGAATTTCTCTTAGATCAGTTCTTGGAAGGTAGGTTTTAATAGGGTGGGTTCTTTTTTGAGAAAGTACTTTTCTAACATTCTTTTTTCTTCCTTATTTGTAAGAACAGCTTCTAAGATTATTTGGATTAAAGAATTTCTCTCAGATCAGCTCTTGAATAGTAGGTTTTAATGAGATGGAATTCTTCTTTGAGAAAAAATGTTTCTAACGTTCTTTTTTCTTTCTTTTTTGTAAGAATAGCTTCTAAGATTATTTGGATTATAGAATTTCTCTCAGATCAGTTCTTGGAAGGTAGGTTTTGAATGGGTAGGGTTCTTCTTTGAGAAAGATATTACTAACGTTCTTTTTTCTCTTTCTTTTTTGTAGAAACAGTTTCTAAGAATCTTTGGACTATGGAATTTCTCTTGGATCAGCTCTTAGAAGGTATACTTTGAATGGGGTGAGTTCTTTTTTGAGAAAGAATGTTACTAATGTTCTTTTTTCTTTCTTTTTTTATAAGAATAGCTTCTGGATCATAGAATTTCTTTTGAATCAGTGCTTTAGCTTTATAACTTGTTTCATAAATTATATAATTAATAGCAATAGTATTTCATTTAATAATATTTTAATATTTTATTTATTTAATAATATTAGTTATTAATGTATAAAATTTTTGAATACATTATAAATAAATAAATAAATAGATTATTCAAATATTATATTTCTTTGTTAGTATTAATGCTATTTTCAGCCAATATATTTCTAATCTCTTGAAGGATATTTATTAAATTAGCATGAGATTTACTTGATAAACCTCAAAAACGTGATCAATCTAAGTTACCTAA